TACATCGTCATCACCCTGACGTATATTTTCTTCCACCGCGCTTGCAAAGCGCAGGGGCTTGACCGCAGATCTCTCTCCTATTTCGGATACCTGCAACCCTACTGCGCATACATTGCATTCGTTTGGATGATCATCGTGACTATCGTCTATGGCTACCCAGCATACAAGCCTTGGTCCGTGTCCAGCTTCTGGTCGAACTACACCATGCAGATCGTCATCCCTCCCCTCTTCCTCATCTGGAAGATCGTCAAGAAAACAAAGTTTGTTAAGGCTCATGAAGCCGACCTTGTCTGGGAACGGCCCCTGATCGATGCCTACGAGGATAGCTTCCTCGATCCCCCTACTGGCTTCTGGAGAGAAATGTTGCAGATGGTCGGCATTGGGCGGAGGAAGGGCGGTAACGATAAGCGATCGCCTTCAGTGTCTCAACCCCACGAGTCGGCTGGGGAAAGTTCGGCATGAACGTAACTACGAGCACTGTTTTATTAAACCCACATGTATGTTTAGGGATCTAACTAGGTAGTTACCGGGTGTTGGTAACTGTCCTTGTGATATGAGCCATCTTGACAGAGGAATTCATTTCCTGCTGCAGATCTGTCAATATTATACTCAGCCAGTTTGTTCATTCCAAAAATGTCTCCGTGTAATTGGCCCGGTATTGGTATCCCTTAGCTGATATCCCGGCAATATAGACCATGCGCGGATAGAAAAAAAAAGATCAAATGTGCTTGTGTGAACTTGGGCAAACTTTAGTTGACATTGATTGCAATTGAGAATTGCTCACATATACCTGTTGAGATGGGTGTCTGAACAAATATATTGGGCAACATGAATTTACTGACTTGTGGTCATACTTGTCCGCCTTGCCTTCAAACCATGTGCGGCCATCTTTGCCTTTCGGTCCCTCGTAAACACACCCTTCTTATTCCCATCCACCCGCCTCATACCAATAGTCGCCTGGAAATCAGCAAAGTTCCAAACACGTTCGCCAGCCATGGACTCCAAGCGGTCAGAGACCCGATGATACATGTCGAGCATTTATTCCTGGAACCCTTCGCTCCTAGGCAAACCAAGGGTATAGTATAAACCGGCAATGGTATCTGCGCCGTACTCAGTCATGATAATGGGCTTATTGAATTTCTTGTCCCGCCCGCGCAGCTCCTTTTTCATCCTTTTTCAGGGCTATCTCTGCTTCCTCGAGGTCTCCTGGTTCAGAATACCACCCGAAATACCGATTCAGACAATTGACATCAAAGGGGTCGGAGATCAGATCCAACTCGTATGGAAGTGATTGTTGATATATATGTGTAGAAAATATCGCATTTACAATATGTGTAGGCTGCGTCACTCGCTTACCGAATACGTTAATTCATCTGCCGGTCTTAATTCAGGCCTCTATGTCATAGGCCAAAATCAGGAATCAAGGCATCGATATTTGGCGGGAAAGCGGTTTTGTCGCATAGCGTCCATATTGCTGCGTAGTCGTGCATGGTGCGATTTTCAATCCCCAATTCGAGGCCACGAGGCGACGCGGGTGGATCCCCACGATACGCCACAGATTCGAGACTCAGCCAAATCTCTTGATGGAGTCTAGGGCAATGGGATAATGGTACGGAGTATGGGTCATGAGAGCGGGAATGGGACCTCGGGATGTTGCCCAGAAAACCTCCCATGTCCGATACAGGACAGGAGAAGTGGGAAGGAATCAAAACGCTGATGGACCAAGTCCAGGCTGAATGTAGTTAGAACTGGGTTCCCGGGTCGCGTAACTCCGTCCGAGAACCACACAGAGACGAGGTTTGGGTGCAAGTGGAGACGGTACCTACATTAGAGGGACACTAGCATTTGGCTTGGCGGCACTAACATAATTGTGAGTTAGGCGAGCCGTGAAAACAATACTTGATACCATTCTATGACCACTCGTTACATTATGACCACCCGGGCCCTCATTATAGACTTCCCTCATTACCACTCATTATAACCATCCACACCACGTGTTGAGCGTATATATTACTACACCGGTTGGGAGCCGATCCCGAAGCAGCTCGACCAAACAAAGAGTATTTCCCCGAAAACTCGTACTTATGACGAGTTCGAGTTGTCGAGGCAGCTGAAAGTGGAGCCTAATAAAAGAGTCAGTCGCGAATTCTGCACAGTTACGGCAAAGCATACCAATCATTCCCGTTGCGTAGGCATCAATGATCTGAACGATAACACCGTACGTCGCACCAACGAGGAAGAAAATTCCGAGAACTACCATGCCCCAATGCAGCAGGTAGATCACCTTCTGCATAAGTGTACCCTTCCGGTAGTGACCATTGCTGTGCAGCCACAAGAAACCAGGAAGACACATGGCTAGAGGGGCGAAACAAACGGACCCAATCAAAGCAACCAGATAGTTGAATATAGGAATAGTCTCGGCGAGGATAAAGGAAATAGCACCAAGACCGATCGTGCAGCCTAGCCAAGTGGCCCAATGGACGACTGTGTTGGCTTGCAAATGACGCGTGTTACCCAAGATGCGCACAAACATATATTTGGCGGCGATCTAAATAGCTATGTCAGTTACGGAACCATGAGTCGCCAGGGAGATACTCACATGTAAGTAGATCGTGGCGCTCACGATCAGTCCTATCAGTGCGACACCGTAAGACACCATCTTGATAGTCTGTCCTGCGCTCTATATATAATAATAATTAGCAAATTGCATCCGAACCCGGCGTTAAGCAGAGGACACATACACCCAAAGACGGACTCGCCACCCATTGTCCACACCAACGATAGACAACCAAGCTGAAAGCAAGGTACGACGCATTGACCACAATCATACATAGGTATAACGCCTTCTTGTAATCCTTCGGGTTTCGCATCTCCGACATTACCGGGATAAAGGCGCTAGTACCAGCCGTACAGACGAAGATAGTACTAGAAGCAACCATGCCAGCGGCAAATCCGGGGTTGTTGATAGTCACGAAGCCGAGGTCGTAGGGCCCCTCTTGGGGTGCGGCAGCTGGGCGGTCGCGCGTTGTGACTCCGATGACGACGATTAGGACTGCGGCATAGATCGAAATGAATCCTATATATGTGAGCCAGCCCACATGCTGGAGTTTGCGTATCGAAGCTGTCGCGACGATAACAACCGCTCCAATCAAAGACCACCAGACAGTGCACGCAGAGTGGTGCGAGAGGGCATTCAAGCCCGTTGAGACTCCAATGATACCACTACCCGTGACAAGGACATAGCCAATAAGAAAGAGTAGACCGGTAAGCTCCTTCGCGAAGAAACCGCCGGCAACTTCTGCCATATCGGCAATAGAATGGCAGTGAGGATGCTTCTTGCGAAAGTTGCCCAGAATCACGAAGGAGTAAGTGTTGAACGCACCCCATGCGACGATACTGATCGAGCCACCCACCGCACCGAGGGAGTATAGCGATGCTGGCAGCGACAACACACCCGTCGCGAAGAGGACCTTCACAAAGATGATACACGCCTTGAACCAGCCGACACTGCGGAAGCTGACACCATCCTCGGTCTTCTTGAAGACCTCGTGCTCCTCAGAGGAGTCCCTAGGGGTTCCCGCCTCCGTGTCATCCACGCTTGCTTTCTCATTGACGGTCATGATGGATGGTTGAGTTTGTCTCGGAAATTGACCCGCTGGGAAAGGTAGAGTTTAAAAATGAAAATCCTGGGGGCGCAGGGAAAATATTCGACAAAGGTATTGTCCTCTGTCTCAGAAACTCTCATGGCGGTAATTAACTGTGGATCCTCCATTTCAAGCGTTGATAAATTGCCACTAGTTGCAATGCACTAGTATGCCGCGGCCACGCTTATTTGCAGTTTGTTTATTGACTTCGCGATAGCCATGAAAATTTCCTGACTTGCTAGCATCGCATCATTTGGAGTCCTCTTCTTCGTCTTGATTCGCGGCGAGGGTTACTTTCTTTAAAGGTCAGAAAAAGAAAAGGAAAAGAAGGCGAGGTTGCTCCCATCTTGCTGTGTCTTTAATATATATCAGTGACACACAGCACATAGGAAGTAGCGTGGGGCCGAATGGCACAAATGATCGGACTTGCTCTCTGAAACCCCATCAGAGCTTGGCTAGTTCCAAACAATTGGCGCGGACCACAGGACCAGCTGGCCAGCTGTCTTCCAGTGATAATTACCAAACAAGGCAAAAATTTCGGCTCGAACATCCATCCCGAGAAGACAGATTATGAATTGTGACCGCCTTTGGCATGGAACAAGCGGGCAGGAGAGCAGGGATAGAAGGTGAGCTACCCGATGTGGGTCCTACCACGTGCGCCGACCGTGCCCTGGGGCATCAAAACAATTACCGAGGAATAGAATCGTTATATTCGTTTACCGACACCCTTCATGGTGGAGCCCTTTTTCTCTGACAGGGAACTTTTGGAAGTAATCCAGAATAGTGAGATTTAGTATGAGAGGGAGGAAGAAAGGAGGGAAAAGAGTGAGTGCCAGGTGTCAACTATCTGCAGGGGCCGCTTGCCCTAGATATTGGTGAGATCGGCGCGCCAGCTACTCCCGAGTTCTACCTATATACGACCAAGGTCAGAAAATCATATAATCTGAGGGGCCAGAGTGAAAAAGAAATTGATCTCATGAGTATACCGGTCCTGGATGGGACATACACTATCCCAACCCGCAGAAGTATTACATTGACATAAGAAAATAAGATGTCATTCGCAGAGCTGGCTTTCACGGATATAACACGTATAGAACATCATAAATCCCAACAAACGTTTGAAAACTGTGCTGAATCGGGACAGCGATACACTCTAATCAACAGACCACAAGAAAAACCAAAAGTGAGGCATAGTCCAAGCACAAGCGACAGTTCCGCAAAGAAAGGACAGGTTTGTCGGTCTCTCAAGGAGGAACTCTGGGTGCTGCTGGTGGCATTAGCCTTGCTGCTGCTAGTCCCGATAACCAAGGACCACGTGCATTGGCGAACGTTCCTGCTGGCGGGGAGAACATATGCCTAGTTTTTTGAATTGTGCTGTGGTGGGTTGTTAGCAAGGTCCAGTTGTGGCAGGGCAAGTTCTGATCTCGTGGTTGAGATGTGTATAAGATGGGAGCCATCAGGTGCGCTTCCCGTATATAACAAGTCTCGCACAATCGGGCCATCTAACCGGGGGACGGCACTCGGTATCCAGTCAGCACTATTGAGAGCGCATATGGTTCTAGTCCAAGCGGTCATTCTCTCACGATTTCCATCCAAGATTGTGACTTCCATTTCCATGTATTGTTTGGTTACGATGCCACCACCAGTATTCACCGTTCCAATACCTATCACCGGTATACTTGGCCCAACAGTTGCGCCAAATGGACCAAGAAGCGTATCAAGATCTCCTTCATAAATGGACATCATATTAGACCCAGTGCCGCAGATAAAGTCTAACTCAGCGGACCAAGATACTCCTGGAACACGAAGGGCTAATTTGATCTGGATGGAGAGTTAGAGGAGCTTGCAAGTGGGTTGAGTCATATGGATCTTACGCCATTCAGCCCTCTAGGGATCCGGCATGGACCTATCGTGATGGCTGCATAGGAGCTCTCATCTCCAGGGCCGCTGATCTGATATTATTCATTAGCGAGTGGGTTTGGAAAAAATGACGATATCAATTACCCCTTCAGTCCAAAATCATTTGTTGCCATTGTAGTGGGCATTGATCGCTTCAAATTCATCCCAGTGAAATGGTCTTGGTCGACAAATCTGGACTCCCTTCGGCCAATATGTAACAAGATCGGTATGCCACTCAAGCTCCCCCGCTTTATATGCTTTCAAAAGAGCCTCAATGTTTGGAAGCTGTTCGTATTTATCCGTAGTATTCGCCAGATCTGTCTTGATGGCCTCCAATGCATGTACCCGTTGAACGGTATCCCAGCTCATCCCCTCAGACCCGGGAAACCTCATCCGACTACAATATAACAAGGTAAGATTTATCCGGAAGTAATATCGATATAGCAGACTCACTCATTTTGAGCCTTTGTAGCCGTATACTCAGCCAACCTTTGCTGGAACACATGGGGCATTATGTTTTCAGCAATTCTCTCATGGCATCTTTGGATTTGGCCATCCACATCGCTATTCGGTCCCAATTAGCTCGCTGGCCACATCGAACACTTGGTTTCAATGCCGCCTTACTCGATTTCAAGATCGTCCTCATTCATATGCCAGCCGCGAGGAAGTTGAGCTGGGTGGATGAGGGGCATGGCTCCCGTCCACTTAGCCCATGGTCTGCTTTTCTTTGGCCTCAGTGGTTGTCGACGTGGCACCAAAGTGCCAACGTAAGACTTAGCAAGGTCTAGGTCTTCTATCTTGAGCGTTGTGCGAGGAGTTGCATCTTGTAGTGATCCCCCAGGTTGTTGGGGTGGTAGTTGCTGAACGTGAGTACTACATCGAAATTTGTATCGCTCTGACATGTCGGAGACAATATGCCTCAGAAAGTTTAGTCTGGCGGATTCAAAATGCCTGGGTAAAAATGCAACGAGTCCGGGGATACAAATACCCGATGGAATAAAAGCAACCCTTTCTCGAAACCAAAGGACGATTACGGAAAGGGGAGAAAACGCAAACTTGAGATCGAGTGGATTTGGGTTCAAAGGTCCAAAGACACGGTATAGCTATAACAAAGAATATCTCCTCGGAAGGAATGGCTGTAAGCCATAAGACTCGTTTCTTACAACTATATTTCTTGGCACTCTTTTCGCCCGCTTTCTTTGTTGTTGAGAAACTAGTATGAATGATAGGAACCCTTGGATGCTTAGCGTCGAGATTCTCTCACCATATCAAAGACAAGCTGGGAGCTAACGCAGGATCAGAGAGAAGAAAGTCGAGAGAGATATATTTAGACAGTGGGAAAAGTAAAACGTTCATTGACTCCGACGCTATTTTTGACAACCGCTAAATCCGATCGGAATCGGAGTTCCTATGATTTGGTAGACATAATTTCAGTTTGAAATTTGAATAGACTGATAGGAATGCAGATCGTTCCTTTCAATCCTTTCGAGACGCGTCAAAGTGGGTATGCATGAAGCAAGGGAAAACGGGGTTCCTTTTGCTTATTGCCAGTTCGTTCACGTGGCCTAACCCGCGTCTCTGTTTGGGAAAAACGAAAATCATCCTTCCATCGAAATTAGTCGCCCGCCCACGTTGCCGAAGCAACTTTCTTTATACAGATCTCTGGTTTTGAGCCTTCATTTTGCGATGATCGACCCTCAAGACAGATTCTGGTCCGAAGGCCAGAACTACTGCGGCCCGCGCGAAAACCCCACTCCCAAAACTTATTACAACGTCTGGGATTGGGATCAACTTCGGATGGTCAAGGTCAAAGGCACCGCCAAACTATTTCCGCCCGAAGAGGATAGGGAGCTCTCAATTTTGGCGCGATTCGCTAATTATCTATCGCCGGAAGTTCGCGCTATCACAGTCGACGACGATGGGCTCCTTACCGGGCTTCCGACAGATCTGGAAGAGGATTATACTCTCTATTTCTTACATATGTTCCTTTCTCGCTCTGTAGCTCGCTGGCCTATGGCCGTACAAGTCAGTACTCTAAGCTCCAAGAGCTCGACCAGCTTGGACCGTTCGTTGATCTTGTATCGTACAAGACGAATCCGGGATTCTCCAAAAGGTTGCTTTCAAGTTTAACGTCTTGAACAAGCCTCCGAGACTATAGATGGCCTGGGATGAACTCAACATTTTCAACAGTCTACCGCCACATCCTAATATAATACCATTTGATCGCGTTGTCGTCGAAGACCAGGAGTCTCGGGTGATTGGGTTCACAACGAAGTACATCCCAGGTGGAACTCTCGCCAATCCAAAGATCCTTTTTCGATTCGAGTGGCTACAACAGGTTACTCAAGTCGTGGATTTTCTAAACCTCGAGCTAGGGGTCATGCATCAAGATATCGCACCCTGCAATCTGCTCATCGATCCTTACACACAAAAGATCGTTCTCTTCGACTTTGATCGGGCTACATCCAGAAAGAAACGGCTATACGAAGGTCGAGATGACGTTACTAGTGTCGTCTTCACACTCTACGAACTTATCACGAACGATACGTGTATCCCCCACTGGGATCGACATATAGGCATGGTGCAAAGTATCTCAGAGTGGATTGTTAATCGCGAACTGGACTCTGACGTATCAAAATTTCGCAACTTTTTGAGCCAATGGGTAGCAACACGAAGATCCGACGGGGATATGGAACGATATCTCAACGCACCACACCGATTTACATGGCCGGACCTACCAACAGCGCCCGATTACAATGTACCATTCGAGATGGGCACAACCTAGGATGGAAAGTCAAACTGGAGGACTGGCCATCGGTCTAGACGCACCGCAATGAAGATGGGGCAGTATTGCTTTCGCTGGGAGAGGCCACCACGGAGCCGCTTGTTGATCGAGGCTGAGCATAGTGTACAGTAGTCAATCATGGAAATCTATTTATGGAAGACACTGCTCAGTCACAATGAATCAAGATGCCAGCCTCATACCACAAGAAAATTTAGTCCTCGACATGAACTCGGTGGGTCATGTCTGGTCATTTCTATTGTCAGGCCTTGCACCAGAAGCAGAACATTTCGTTCCCATGGGGTTCGAATTGGCGAGGATTTGCCTCCCGAATGAGACCCACCCATCTCGAAATAACTCCATGGATGGTCATTCGCCGGATCTCTCATCTCAACGATACGCCGGCAAGGGATGCTGAAGGAGCCGCCGGTCAACGCGGAGTGGGATCAGGTGGGACTATACAGACGGTAGTTCTTGGGTCGTGAGCCCTCTCTTTGGCTTGGCAGTCCTCGGTCTTGTCCTCTCGATTCGTAGCTAAGATGACCATTGTTAAACTGATTTGGACAAGGGCGCCCACGTCAAACTTAAAGGCAGAGCCAATATCACAGCGCTTCAGTTAGCATCAGCAAATGGGCACAAGGACATCGTCGAGGTACTGCTAGACAAGGGTGCCGACGCCAACAGCAAAGGTGGGCAGTACGGCACGGCGCTTCAGGCGGCGTCGGCAGAATGCCACAAAGACATCGTTGAGATGCTGCTCGAGAGAGGTGCCGACGTCAACATCAAAGGTGGGGAATGCGGCAGGGCGATTCAGTCGGCATGATAACGCGGCCACAAGACATTGAAAACTGTAGGGGGGAGAAAATATCTCTATAACTACCTAGATATGTAAAAAGACTACATAAGGAGACTACTAAAAAAGACCACTAAAAGACATATAAAAAGACTATCGGAGAAGACTAGCTAAGAAGACCACCAGACTATGGCCGTATAAGCGGCCGACTATTAATATCTCAATTCCTACAAAATCAACTTCTTACAGTGTCATTTTCCACACTATTAATTTCTATCAATTTCTATAGTCAATAAAAATACACGTATACTAATCTTATGAAATGTTCTGCTGCAAAATACGATATGGCGCACTGGTGGCGATACACTGCCGTAGACGTTAGGAAGCAATGGTAGGTGTGATGGACCACATTTAATCTCCTCTCAATGCACAAATTCTCTATGATTTATCTCTTGGGTATACGTTTGCTCACTATTTTACGTGGAGGTCACGCGAGATCCTACAAATCGCTGTTGAGATCGAATATTTTACTACTGAAAACACCTCAGTACTTTCGATCGCGCCCCTTCTGGAAGCAAACTTCCATGACACTTTGTCAATAGCGGATAGCTAGATTCTCAGAAACAATTGAGAGCCCGTCGTGAAGCCAGTGTACGCCACCCAACAATGGTGATGGGCATGGCGCACTTGAGGCGCCATTACTTGAAAGAGTGAGCAATCGCCAAGTGGGCATATGGTGGACTCGGCCAATGAATACATGGAAGAATTTGGATTTACCGAAGTATCCGAATTTTATCGAAGTCCAAAATCATTTCGTTGGGGTCCGAGCTCGATGGGAAATTCCGTTCTTTGTCTCTCGGAGATCTCGAGGCACCTGATAGGAACGTGGTTTCTTTGACATTTCTTTGACATTTCTTTGACACCCCTTGACCCTTCCAAGGTTAGGTTAGCTGTGCAATTATCGTGATTATATTTTTAGTCCCACAACCTTTTGATTGAGCCACCGCATGGATGGGAAAGTCGGCAGTTGCCCAGATTGGATGGATGGCTGCGCCCCGGTGAACAGGGACAAAGTAGGTTGTATGTGGGATATTTGGGGGGCCGAGATCCATTCGCTCCGTCCTGTGTGAAGCATATTGACGATTAGCTTTATCTTCCGTGGAGCGAACAATTTATAATGAAGTGATCTTAGGGGTTTGTGTGCGAAGGTGAATGGTGAACGAGTTTTGGGTGTTCCCTTTTGGCACCTTCAGACCACACTATGATTATCGCTGGGGGTCATGATTTGATGGAGTTAATAACGGGGCCCACATTGAAGTCCGAGCTCCTTCCCTTTTGAGTAAACTGCACATGGCTCAAGATATCCGACCAGATATCCTGAAAGAACATGAGTGTTTCTGCTAGCCGCGCCAATAGGACCAAGATCGCGAAAGTTATGTGGAGGGTCAGAAGAGCACTAGCAAGAGATCAACAAAGAATAATATATTTAATCTCGTGGCGATATTGTTCTCCAGACAATATATCTGTGACGTCTCGTCGTTTTCCAATCTATCCATGACTTCTATACCTAACCTGTAGCAACAATGGCAGAGTTTGACGACCAAAACAGCAGAGTTCGTGAGTCAGTCTTTTTGGTTTGTATCCAACATGATGACGTGGCTGCCTTAGTATACTAACCTTGTACCGATAGGGCGTGCTATGGGCTCTCACAGGCACATCGTTTATATTTGTTGTATTCCGCATATATGCCCAACTTACCTCATTCCGTCGAGTATATCTAGATGGCTACCTCGTCATCCTCGCATGGATCATTATGCTCACTGCCGCAGTCATTTGGCAAGTCGAGGGAAAGGCTCTTTACGAGTTATACGAAATCAGCGCTGGCACAAAGCCATTCAATCCTGAATTCCTACCGAGGTACAATACATTCATGCTCTTTAATGCTCCACTTCAGATACTATTTTATTCGGCACTGTGGTGTGTCAAATTCTCATTCATGGCACTCTTCTACCAAATCAGTGCCCAGGTCGAGTCTCTCCGTATTTGGTGGTTCCTGGTACTGTTCTGTACCGCGAGTGTTTATATTGGGTCGGTGGCCGATATCGAATACAAATGCAGTTTGGGGGGGCTGGAGTATATCATCAGTGAGGATAACTGAACTCGAATGCGATTCATTTACACTGCCCTGACACCGAACTTTGCAGCTCAATGTCCCCGACCTCATCATGTTCATTATGAGAATCGCATGTTCTGGGCCAACTGTGCCGGGGATGTTATCACGGACTTTATGAGTGAGTTTCATTGCGAAGACACTGATATATTAAGCCAGTACTTTTAACCTAACAGTATTTCTCGTTTCAGTCCTGTCTATTCCCTTCCTTGTGCTATGGAAAGCACGAATCTCGCTACGCAAAAGGCTTCTTCTGCTGAGCATTTTCTCTGCAACTATCTTCATCATGGTCACCGCTATAATCCGGGTGGCCGTCGGGATGAACTATGACCGGCAGATGAATATCGACTGGCTATGTTTCTGGAGCTTTGTTGAGGTAGATGTTGGTATGTTGTCTCAAACTTTCATAAAGCGTTGTCCTAATACTGATCTTGACGTGATAGCGATTATTGTCTCCTGTGTCGCCTCTCTCCGCCAACTATTCGTCACCTCGCAGAATCAGAGCTCATCTGCAAGGGCCGCGTACCATGATACAAACGACCCTATTCCGAAAAATTCAAAAGAGGGGTATAGCCAAGATCTGTCGGGGTCTGTTGGGGATGTCGAGTCACCCGCAAATGACGAGGTGCCCATGTCGCCCTTGAGCGTTGTACATGTTCGTCAAGATTTCGAAATGACACGTGTTGATGCCAGTCAGTCTGCTAATGGTGAGAAGGCATGCAGACACCAGACTAGCTTTGACTAGTTTAGAAATTTCTACAGTGCTCCTTGTTACTGAGCGTACATCGAACCCACCCATCTTCAACTTTGTGGATCTAATCGAGTATCCCAAAATGGCATTAGAGTAGACTCAACAAATGGATAGTCCAGACTTTTCTAGAGCAACTCAAGACAAGAATTAGCAACAATAGCTGGCGTCTCAGTCTAGTAAATTGTTCCAGTCTTCTTTGCAAGTGAGGCTGAGGCCTTCTTGATGGAGCGTGTTGAACTCCGCAACGCTGTCACCCCTTCGGCTGCCAACGCCAAACCCAAAATCCGGTGGGAAGATCTTCCCTATCGCATGAAACGTGTTCACCTCCGCCGCAAACTTCAGATTCTTGATCATAGTCAATGTGGATGGTCGAGCCTGGTTCGGGGGATACTTGACCTCTAACATCAGAGAACTACGGAGGAAACTGAGACCCTTGTCAACAGCTCATCGATGCATACCTATATGGCGAATACAGTATCTGTCGCGCGCTGCTCCTCCTCGGGATATCTTACCCATCGACTGGGGCATTCAAAAGAACAATGAAATCCGCAATAGCGGCGAGTGCCATTCAAAGGGGAGATTGCCACCAGCTGCGCGCATCTTTGATTAATGGATCCAAAATCGCAGACTGCAGCAACCGACTGGCCATTATTCCGTTGGATATTGCTGCCAAAAAGGGATATAAGGCGATCATAGAGCTATTTATAGCGAATGGTTGCCCAATGCGGTATCACTGTTATGACGCCTCATACTGGGAGGATGACATCAAAGTCACGGACATGATGGCAGAAAGTGCCAATTTCAGCGGCCTAGATGCATGGATTGATCACCTGGCAAAGGAAGGAGACATGATTCCGAAGATTTTGAAGCGGGCTATGACAAGAGCAGGGAGGTATGGGCATATGAATGTCATGGAACTCGTCCAGGGGGAATGTGAAGCCATGTATGGTAGCCCTGTGTGGCTTGCTCATGCGCTTGAGTGGGCCATTAGTTATGGCTCTTTGGATGCGATTAAACTCCTTTTCCGTCGGAGTGGAGTGGATACAACGACCCGAAAAAGCCCACCCGACAGGATGCCGCTCTTAAAGGTTATTTATCGATGTCCAATTGGCAAGAGACCGGATATTGTTAGATTCCTTCTTGAAAATGGGGCAGATCCAAATGGGAACGACCCACCGAAGAAAAGCACACCCTTCGAAGTGGCCATCAAGGCAAAGGATTTTGAATCTGCCTCTATTCTATTCAAGCACGGAGCAGTCGTCACTTCCAAAGAATGATGCCCTTGCTACTGAGGAATAGCAAGCAGACCTGTACTGCTTTGGTTCAGCTGTTATGGCCTAGCGGGGACAGTCACCGAATATACAAGTCGAGAGGAAAGTGGTATACTATCTATCGTGATGCGGGAATAATAAACAATATTGAGAATGTTTTCTTGGAACTGGGATGGAGCGAGCAAGAATGTGAAAGAGCTGGAGATTGGTCACATTATAGATGTATACTAGCGGTACCTTGTTGTACGACTGGGCTAAATGACCTTGTTACTCAAGAAATCAAGCATACTTCAAGGCTGTATGTAACCCTTTGGTCGTAATAATATGCATAGAGGCTGTTCACAAAGAAAACGCAGACGTATTATTCTATGGCAACAAAACTGTCCGTAACCAGTGGATGCTTTTCAATTGCATCATGAAAGCTCCCATCAGAGCTGCAAGCGCTTCCAGGATCCTGCAACTCATCAAAGTCTGAGTTGGTTCGAGTCAGACACCAAGTCAGAAATCCAGAGTCAGCAAGTGTCGGAGAGGTGCCCTTCCTCAGTTCTGGCACCTGGTTAACGATACTTAGTAGTCCATCAAATGCCAATGCCAATTTTTCCGTGAAATCCGGACGCTGCTTTAGGTGATCCCCAAAATCACCAAGAGTGTATTGTTTGTCGTACTTCATTCGGAAATGATCCGTCGCCGCCAGAATCTGGAGCGTGGTAGGGTCAGCGTATAGTGCCGCAGTCTGGAGGAGGTTGGGTCCCTTCATCCGGGGGCAGATGGAGTACTCATGCCACCGATCGAGAAACAATCGTAGGACGTTATGACTGTTGTATATAATTGCGGTGGTCAAAGGAGTTGATCCCTCAGTCGACACCGAGTTGATGTTTGCGCCATATTCCAATAATAGCATAGCAAACCCAGCATTATCAATCCTTGCCGCATGAATAAGACCGGTCTTCCCGTCATTTCCACTTGCATCCACATCTGCGCCAAAGTCTAGTAGTGATTTCAGAAGCAGAATATCAGTAGCGTTTCGGGTAGCGCAATTGAGTGGACTCCCTTTCCTTTCACCGCTAGGATGGCATAAGTCTGGTTGTGCTCCCGCCTCTAGGAGTAGACGAACGGCAACAGTGTGACCCTGGGAAGCAGCATTTGAGAGAGGACCTGACAATTGAACATCCACGATGTTCGGATCTGCGCCGTGACTAAGGAGTGTGACAATGGCTCGCGTATCCCCTCGAGCGGCTGCCCAGGCCAACGCAGTGCGACCCATGGCATCAACAGCATTGATATCCTGCGGGCTATGGGTTATCTCGTCCTCGAGACTCAACATTGACAAGCTAAGGACAATCTTATGGGTCTTCGTAAATCTTGCTTCGTCTATGAAATCTTCAAGATAACCGTTTTTGGCGATGATGCGGAGGGCACCAACGGCAGTCTCAGAAAGTCCACCTTCCAGAAGGAAATGACATGCTTTATTTCTTGGGCTATTGTCACTGGCAGAGATTGGTCTGTAGTCCGCGTCTGCACCTGCGTGGATCAAAAATTCGCATGTCTCATACTGTTTGCCGTAGAGGGCCCACCGAAGAATCGAATACCCGCGAGAGGTACTGACATCACGGGGAGAAGCCAATCCTCTGCTGAAGAGATATTTCAGACCATCGATGTTTCCGTTCAATGCAAAGCTAACGCATTGTGCGGTGTCAGGTACCCTCCGTAACGTATCGAGGTGTAGCATTGTTCCCACGTTGGGCTGGAACCCAACTTGCAGTCGCACGATTGCAGACGACAGAAATGCGAAGGGAAACCAGTATTCAAGGCTGACTTGCCTTGCCCGTGATTTATTGCATGTGTGTGTATTACATTTTGGGCTGAAATAAGGGAGTCCGGCGTAGCCAACGAAAAGCTGACCAAAAACACGGTTGACGAGTGCGGGACTTGTGGCCTTCTGATGCGAATGACAAGAACATGGGCAACCCGAGCGGCAGGTAACGAAAAATGGAGCGACACGAATGCCTATCACTTCGGAACTTGTCGCCGCCAGGGGTGTATTCCTTTCAACTGAGGGTGGACGCTGCGTTCGAGGAGTGGACATATGGTACGACGATCCAACTTGGGTAAACTGGCTTGCTTGGACTTGATGTGACTGGGCCAGTAGCATCTCCTCAACTCTGGCTATACGTTGATCGACAGCAGCAAGTCCATTCAGAAAGTTGCTTTCTAGAGCAAGCTGCTGTTGCGAAGATTCAAATGTGACAGCCGAGATTGCCTCGATATCCAAACGGATCTTTGTCATATCTTGCCTATTTGGAACCTTGTCAGTAAATTTCAAGCTCTTGGATCAAGACAGTAAACTTCACTCAGTTGACATACGAGTTTGAGGCACCAAGCATGACGTTTAGATTGGCCTTCACCGTCCTAATGTCCTCTTGAAGAGCCTGCAGGCGGCTTTGTTCTTTTCGCCAAGCATGCGCCCTGGAAATCGACATTCTTGACGCGCGGCAGGCCATGGTCAGCTCACAAACAATGTCTTTGATTTCAAGTAGCTTTTTATTCGCTTGGTGCAAAAGATGGGGGATAGCTGAGAACTTCGTTTCGGGTAAGAACGCTCGGCTTTTGACGAGCAAGGAGACCTGGAGAAGGACAAGGTTGAGATCGGCGACTTCATTGTTGACCGCATGAAGGCGCCCTGGTAAGCTTTCACAAAGCGCCCGTAGGTCTGAGAGAGCGGAGCAAGTTTGAGTGGCAAGTGTTGCGATGGCGATCACACTCGCCCCGAACGAGAGTGGATCCATATCAGAATAAGCTTTCAACGTTGAATCAAAGAAGTTACAGAATATGTGGAATTTCTTTCGAATAAGTATCCATAAATGTAAGAATGCGGGGCGATTTCCTTCGCCGAGCGGTGGAGGTCCCAGTGCTTTGGGCGCTAATTGCGTTATCTCCAATCTCCATGGACTACTGTCTTGATTGGATATTGTTGTGACTGCTATGCACTGGTATGCATGTTGGCTCCATGATCCAACTTAAAGATTCTGCCATGCTTTCCACTCCTTATCGTTCCGACTGTTCTACAGCCCGGATGACGGCATCGAGTACCTTCTTAGATTAGAAAGCAGCCTTAATATGGATTTCTCTTCGTGCAGCTCTCAGTGGACTGCCCGAGACGCGACCGAGGGGCGATTCTCGCCCGTTCTCACCCTGACTATTGTGCTAAAATTCCCTGCTCACCTCCGGTCCCGCGACGCTAAAGCGGCGCTCACCCTAAACTCACCCGGGCGACACCCACCCGACTACTCACACACACCTGATGGTTTACATTATAATATCTTCTCACATGTAACCTTACACATGCGACCATAGGGTGTGGAAAATAGGGCTTCCCGTCCGCTCAGCCGTACTCAAGCCACACGCCGGTGAGTTAGTAGTTGGGTGGGTGACCACCAGCGAATCCTCACTGTTGTATGTTTTCCTGTGTTTTTGTGTCTTTTTAATAATTTTTAATTGTATGAATCGTTTCATGTTTGTGTTGAACACACTGCTTGAGAGTTGGTCTAATTTTCGGCGGCAGTTGTGCATATTTGTACTCCGAGCCGATAAGCGACTTGGATTCTTGTCTCGGATATTAACGTGCAAGCTGCTGCTAAGGGGAGGTCCCTTCGATCATCTCTAGGTTTCGCGTTCAGTCATTGTCGGGTCTGTGGAAGACCTACCCAAGGTCGATGCGATTAGTCTAACATTATCGACCATGAGAATCTGAAGACCAGCTGTTTGTTGTACCTAAAGCAAATGAGCTGTAATGTTCAATGGACGGGACGGCAAGTTGTTTTTTGAACTTACTTTGGCGTTCTCAGGGATGTTGTTTAAAGAGCCATAAGACCCGCAGATCAGACCTGATCTTTTGACATAGCCCACCAGTCTCGGGCACAGGATCAATGTCTCGGAAGCGAAGACGATTCCGGCCAAGTTCCATCGCTTCGAGAAACGGACCGCGGCTTGCAGACTACTAGCCCTCATCTCCATGTCCGACATTGGTAGTTTGCCAGCGTTGGTGATAAACAAGACAGGATATGTATCTTGCTTGCTCGCCAGAAGAATACAAATCTCAGGTGAAAATGAGGAGAGTATAATGGCCCTTCCACTGCTAACATGGAAAATCTGGGCAAGTATTCGATCGATGAAGGTGTTGATCTCGATAGCGATTGGTCCTACGCCGGCCTCAACAGCTTCATGAAGGCGGGGATACTCTTTATCCATGTTAGCTTTGTAGTCCATAAGACCAGCCGAGTGCTCATTCGGATACCACAAACATACTGATCTCAATATTGAAGCTGATTGAGTCAGGCAGCTTCGTAAGCAGCTCTTCCAGCGTGGTGAAAGAATCCTGCACGGAATGCCCCCTTGTATTCGGCTTGAACCCTTTGTTCATGAAGTCCACGGTGTGCTTCATTCTGTTACGAATTCTCACAGTCTCTTGATCTTGGTCCTCTGTTAATGAACGTGAACGGACTCTGTTCCTGCCCGGCCCATGTGACAGGCCCTGTGAATTTGGCTTTCCGAGCATCGACACTGGTTCCCCTCTTGGTGATTGAAGTTCACTCGCATGCATAAACTTGAACAGTTAGAGTCAGAAAATGTCAACGTTCGAAGAGACACACCTGTTCGAGACTGAGATCATGAATAGGGATGTCGGTTCCGGACTCGCTTAACGAGAAGTCATGATAAATGATGGGCAAAAGGTCTCTAGTGAGTTGGACGTCTGGCTGCATGTTAGCAAAGACGAAAGGAACAGTTTCACTTGAATGGGCCATTACCAAACTGTCAAGGATTAGTTAATGCAAGCCATATATCTATTTAACTAGTGCTTTAGCGCTTCTTACCTCAACATATGAAGCACCAAGCCTGGCAGCAGAAAGAAAAGACTATTTCAAAGGTTAGTATGATAGGGTATCGGGGTACTAGTGAATATACCTCTATGGTATTCTCTCCTAGCTGAAGCTGACTGTGACTGGCAGTGTTTTGACCAAGCCCTTTCTAGTGTTAGCAATACTGCATCTCGGGGTGTAAAGTGCCGATTGAATGAAGTTGTACCTCTGTGACCGACAAGTTGTAGGCCCTCCGCCGAGAGTTTCTGTTTCGCCAATGGGGGGGTATTTGAGCTCATCAATGGTTTAGCAATGACGAAGGTGAAGGTGACGGTTCCCATAATATCCATCGTACTCTTTTCCAGAATTGGGAGAGTACGCTCTCTGACGAGGCTCTCACGATTTGCTCCAAAGCAGTCTTTGTCACTCTCTAGTAAATAAGCAGCACTACCTATTAGCTCGCACGTTTCACATGGCGAGTCTATAGCGTAAAACTTAAAAGCCAGACGGGCTTCACTAGGGTTAGTGACAGGAAAAACAAATGGTTCATTGACCATATCGCTCAGCACGGGCAGTTTCACACGCTGTGAGGTACCCTCCACTGAGATTGACATTTCCATCGGAGGGAGACGTTTTGGGTAAGGCGAATTGTCCGGCAAGGAACCTCTGAAGTTCACAGCTTCGACATGCTTGCCGTTACGCAAAGAACCAACGTTGACAATGACATGATTTTCGCTTATGGAAAGACGACACCCTGCTGCAGACTTGGACTTCAGCGGCATGTCGGCAGGTCCACCAGTAAGGCGGTGAGTATCCCATGATTTCAGCATTTGAGCGACATGGAGATGGCCCCTCAAAGCAGCATGTTCCTTAGCTGTCCAGCCGTGATGATCGTCTAAGTCCTGACTGGCTCCTGCTTGCAGAAGAAGCTCAACAACGGTATGGTGGCCTTCCACACAAGCGATAAACAATGGATTCCAGCCATGCACTGTTTCGGCAGTGTCTATGTAGACGGTATTGGAACGTTCCAGCAGCACGTCTACGTAGTCGCTACGCCCGATCTGAGCGGCAACATATAGCGCAGACTCCCCATACAACGAGCATCCGTGAAGGTCAAAGGAGCTTTTTGTGAGGAGGAACACAATCCCATCATGCTTATATCTGATAGCGAGGATCAACATATCATTCAGATTTTTCAAGAGTCTTTCGGTTTGAGCCACTTGTCCGGATTTAATTTCTGAAATCAAAGTTTCCAGAAATACTTCCACAACACCCACGTGGTTTTCGATGACCGCGTAGTGAAATGGTGTAAATCCTTGACAGTCCGGCATTAGAATTAGTTTCGACGGGAAACCCAAGCCCCAGGCATGAGAGTAATTCATGATTGATTGACATGTGAAATCCATGCCGTGTAGTGCCGCATAATGAAGGCTAAGACGGCCAAGATTGTCCTGCTTAGACAGAGTGTCTTTCTTACGAGAGGCAAGACATTCAATCGCAATACCGAACAAGCTACCGTGTCTCTTCTCGCCGGATGGGATGCTTTCTTTCAAGTCATTGCATGCTTGTGAAGGGCCGAGTTGCCCTTCCATGATAATGACATGGTTCAGCAAATCTCGATCGAGCACAACACCATTCATGCTGAACGTTTCTGATAACAAATATCGAAAGCAAAGCTGAGAGTGACAGGTCGCTGCAAGCCCGGCCAGTTCGTAAAGGAAGGTACTGGACATTTGCTCTGGAGAAGGATCGCGTAAAAAAGCATTGAGCGAATCGGCCAAACTGGAAGGCTCGTCGGTTCTGATTGCACGATATAGGGCCGCATATTGATCGACGAGGGTTGACAGGTCATCAGATCTGACTTTACCTAGCAGCCCCTTTATCGTAGCAGGACGATACCCATCAGATGATCTTTCAATGACGCTAGTCGTTAGGCCCTCGATCTGGCTCTTGAAGTTGGCACATTGTGTACGAAGGTCAATTTGCGATCTTGCCCACTTAGACTTTTGTTCCTGATGAAGTAGGCTCTCGGAACCACCCAGCTTCTCGATCTTTGTGAAAAGCCTCTGGATAGCTTCTTCATTCAACTGAGAGTAATCCTGAAGCTTCTCAAAATCATCATGTAGCTTTTTGGCGACTCCCAGAAAGACTTTTGCCTCATGAAAACCATCCTCCTCGTGCCCCGAGAAGATAATTGCTTGGAGTAACTGTCCATATTTCTTCTCAAGCTTTGCTCGTCTTGCCATCAGAAAGTTGCAGCTTGCATGGTGGAATTTGCCGAAGGACTGAATGCTATCGTCGAGGAGCCCGTACACTTCTACTTTCTCTATTAGAAAGTATTCCGAGCAGACAATTGCAACCACGAACCTGAAAAGTCTGGTTCAACCTTTGCATTAATTGACTGTGCGACGGCCAGGTTTAATGCGCTCTTCACCGGGTCATAGGGGACATAACGTGATGTCCATTCTGGGACCGTGTGACGGTGGAAATACCGACCGAATCGCATGTCGAAACCGATGAAAGACGATAGCCTTGTTCCGAGCTGTTATATCAAAGTCTGTTCCTCAACCTTAAAGTGTTAAGATGAGGCTCGCATCGAGTCTACGGGTCTTTCGCCTTTCGCCCATGGGCCGCCCGGGCGCTCTCCGGAGATGACTAAGGAGCGGGGAAAGCGGGGCCTGGGCGGGAGGGGGCCGTCCGTACCGTCGCTCTACTCGGGTGAGATTAGGGTGAGTGCGCGCGAGATAGGGTGAGCCACTCAGCCGACTCGCGCGATTCGCTCACCCTATAACATATTAATTAGCCAGAAATCTTAATCTCCGATATTCGACGGTGTTAGATAGATATCACAAATCAAACTCGTGATATCTTACAGCAACTGAAAATACTGTATGGGCGGCTTGAAAAGACTTCGATTCTGAGCTTCAAGTATATATCTATGCCGAAGAGGTATTTGCCCATTATACTACAGCTTGCAATCAGACAGCTGGATGAGAAGTTTTTGCTATATCAAGGGAATATCGATGGCAGGCTCTCCATGAACGAATTTATGGATGCGACCTCATACATATCAGCTAAGCATGGGATGATGGGAACTCTTTTCCTAAGGTGCTATGGTGGACTCAATACCACCGGAGAAACGTCACTCCAGGTTAGAGAACAGATCATCAAAAAGTCTGTAGTTACAACCCAGATGATATTCAGATGTTATCTTGGTTCGCTGCCCAAGATATGCAGTGTTTCCTCAGGATCTTAGCCGGGAGTAATGAGTTGGCACAGGACAAGATTTCCCATGAAGGCCACGAGAATTTCCACACAATCAACATTGAAATCCTTTATGGAAAACTGTTCCTAGTCTCCTCTCGACAACTCTTCTGTCGCTACACAAATTTTTGAGCGGAGGCGAGGGGTCTCGCGGGGAATACCATAGTGCCTCATATGACCCCGAGGCGATGGTGACAATAGTTAAGGCTTGTACAGTTGGCGTAATTGTTAACATAAGATTGCTACCCTAACGTAACTGATCGCATTATTCGGTAGTAGGCCAGATTTTGTCTAGAATCTAGCCAACTATGGCATAGATATTAACTAGACAATTCCTCGCGGCAGTGACTCGTAACGAAAAAGAAAAATAAAGTAAAAAAGAAGGACACACCCGACACCTGTGAGATTCGAACTCACGCTCCCGAGGGAAATGCCTAGGCTTACATTTTATGCATAGCAGGGCATCGCGTTAACCACTCCGCCAAAGTGCCTTGTTGGCCGACGTTAAAATTCCTGTACGACGGCAGACAATGTTCCTAGCTTTGCCCGACTGCCTACTTCGGCGGAAACATTGCGAACTTGTTAGATCCACTAGGGCTGGCAGGTCATTACTATTCTGCCGCATATTATATGATGGCTATGGTCAACATTCCGTTGGGTTAGGCCTTATAACCATCGGCGTCTTTCGGTTGTCACTGGAAAGAAAATGCGTCGAGGGTCTAGCACGCTAGCATGTTCCTTGGATGCGAGAAAAAGCTCCACCAAACCACCGTGGCCTGGAACCTAGTCCCAGATTCGCGACCTTACCAGAGGAAATGACGGAGAATCTGAAGAAGCAGGATATATTGCAACTGACCTCGCTCCGCTAGAAAATAATTTGATAATTCGTCTTCTTTATATCTCTTGTCTTATAGGCTGTTTTTTTACTTAAGTTCGTATCGCTTATTAGAGGTATGTAAGTGTTTGAAGATAGGTGATAGCTCACTCAAGCTAGTTGCAACATGGTCTATTTGAGCCTAAGTTTTAAGAAAAGTATATCCATGGATGCACCTCCGAACTTCACCGCCTCTGAGATTCTGTAAGGATCGCATGCTTTCTATTGGATAGTACTAGCTAGGCCACAAAAGTGAATATAATTACATAATCGGTGGAGCCCTCGCTTTTAGACAAATAGAAACCCTTTCTCTCTGTGCGCCCAGGACCACTCCCTGGCCCTGGCCAGCCTCAGGCATCCAGTCCCTGTGGAGTGCCTGAGGCCACCAAGGGATGCAAACCCTGCAAACCCTTCGGGACGACACCTCGCGGAGTGGTAGGTCATGTGATAGTGCTGCCTGAGACGGGCTCGTCCCTGAAACATTTTCATATCATGCCAAGGGGATACAGATATATCACCAATCAAGGCACTTTGGCGGAGTGGTTAACGCGATGCCCTGCTATGCATAAAATGTAAGCCTAGGCATTTCCCTCGGGAGCGTGAGTTCGAATCTCACAGGTGTCGTTTTTTTGGTCCCTCCCTTTACGCACGTTCCGTATAGGAAATTACTCCTGTCAGCATTAGATCTATCTATCTATCATCATATCTGGTTTGATTAAGTCTAACAATGCAAGCGACCCATGCCTGATGGCAAAGACAATATAAAGGGGAGAAATAATAATAAAAAAAGCAGAAAAGCGACACCAGTCACTCATGCCCCCGAAGGGAAGGCCTAAAACCTTGGAAGCTACCTAGGAACCTATCGCAGCCATTAGTAATGGTAATGCCACATAGCAGGGCGCCGCGTTAGGCCACTCCGCTATAGTCTGTGCTAGTCTTCTTTCACTAGGAAATTATAGATATTTGACCGTGATTCTCGCTGAGATATGACGTATTATTGCGCAGGCTAGAGTGTACTAATTAATGATCGTCTTGCCAAGTGAGTGGAAACAATGACAGAAGAGTCACTAGCGTAAAGCTATTCACAAATATGGCCCGGAATATCAGCCGCCTTTCCTCTCATCAGTATTGTATGCAAACTATTCCATCTCAACTGACCCAAGTCGAGTTTGTTCCAGTACTGTCGTGTGGTGGTGGAACTTTGGAGGTTGCTTTCTACGATTACCAAATGAATCGTGCACTAGCTTTTATATAGTTAGCCTGCCTGGCCTGCCAATCCATATGTGAAAGATCAACGTCTGAATGGAGAGGAGTTAACCAGATTGAGAAACGGGTGAGCGAATTGCGAACTAATTAGTGCTCTGTGGCTCCGCAGTGGCGGAAGGTGGTCCTGGAAGATGGGGGTGTGAGGCCAAAGCATTCGATGGTGCCGCTCTCAGGTAGGAGATGAAGAACATTGATTGTGGCACCAAACTTGCCAATAACAATGAGCGCAGAAGGATTGGTGGAGGGGGTGAATGTCTTTACAAGACGGGGAAGCATGATTATGCCAGTCAAAGATTGTTAAATGAAGAGATATTGATTCTTGATTTACTTGTAACTTCGTTAGGCACTACAGTATGTCGGGACTAGAGATCAGAAGGGAGAGAGTTGTATTGTGGAGAAGCGAGCTCCCAAAACAACTAAGATCTACGCGAGGGGTGGATGCCTAAGGCACCAAGGCCTCAAGAAGTGTTAGTTGATATTAAGTATGGTTGCAGAGGCGGCTAGTAGCATAATCTATTTCTATAATGGAAGTAGGTCTCTAAAGCTAAATAATCAAAGAGCTAAAGACGCGAACTGTTCTTGGCCTTAGCATCTAGCAATTGACCGATACGGGGATCGACCTTGCTGAACATGGCAGTGACAGCATCTTTGAGCTGATCAGGCACGTCCTCCAGGGTTTCCGACACATTGCAGACCCACTGCCTTCTCTCGGCCTCATCAAAGACCTTATTCCATAGCTCTCGAGGCTGAAGGAAGTCCTCGTCATCAACCAGAATCTCGTTATGGCCGAGAATAGCGTTACGCGCGATGCGCTCGGTGTGTCGTACATTAGAAACAATCTGGCTAGGGACACCAGGGCCCAGTGAGCTCCGCACATAGTTCGGGTCACCACCATAGTTTCGGGTCACAGTTCCCATGCCGTCGCGCTCGAATGGCGCGTATACAGGGCAGATTGCACGGTTTGGCGGAAGCTGTGTGTAGTTCACTCCCAGACGGTATCGCTGAGCGTCGGGGTAAGCGAACATGCGCGCCTGCAACACTGTACAGACAAAGTTGTTAGTATCCTGACCCGTCTGGTGACAACACCAGTGCAAACTTACTAGGATCAGGTGTCATTGCAATCCCAGGCACCATGTTAGAAGGCGAAAATGCTGCTTGCTCGATCTCGGCAAAATAGTTCTCGGGCTGGGGCTATTGTTAGCACTTGCTTCGCGTCTAAGATCAAAAGCCACCCACATTCTTGTTGAGAGTCATTTGACCAACTTCGATCAAGGGGAAGTCCTTGTGAGGCCAAACTTTGGTGATATCAAACAAAGCACGGCCGTAGGTTTCAGCCTGCTCGGGTTCCATGATCTGTACGTAGAGCTTCCAGGCGGGCAAGTCTCCGCGAGCAATAGCGTCCCACAAATCCTGAGTGTGGAAGTCGGCGTTTGCGCCAGCCATGCGAGTGGCTTCCTGGTCAGAGAAGTGTGTTATATTCTGGGTCGGCCGGAAGTGGAACTTGCAGTAGCGGAAGCCACCATCAGCTGACACCATCTTGAAGGTATGTACACCGAAGCCTGTCACTCGACGGACCGAATCGGGAATACCACGAGTGCCGAAAAGATGCATCAAAGCATGAACACTTTCCGGTTGGTTCGCGTGGAAATCCCAGAACTAAATGGTTAGCTTCATCGGCAATAAAAAGGAGTTTTCGATTAACACTCACCATAGTCCAGTCCGGCCGGTTGGTGGCAGGATGTCTTTTATGGCTCCTGTTGAGAGAAGGAAACCTGACAGGATCGCGAACGAAGAACACCGGCTTCAGGAATGTTAGAGATGAAGCGTGAGAGTCGGAGGGCAGCACTTACAATATGGTTCCCTACGATATCATGATTACCTTCCTCTGTGAAGAACTTGACAGAAAAGCCGCGCACATCGCGGACAGTGTCCGCACTACCCTTTTCACCGCCAGTAGTGCTCAGACGGAATAGGACAGGCGTTTTCTTCCCAACACCATTAAGGAACTTGGCTGACGTAAGGGAGGAAATATTGTTTGTAACTTCAAATTCTCCCCAGGCACCCGCAGCCTTAGCATGGACGACTCTGTTTAGCGTTAGGATACGTTCTCCTTCCACGAATCAGGTCCAATGGTCTCAGACCTTTCCGGGATACGTTCGCGGTTGAAGTGCGAAAGTGTCTCAATGAGAAGCGTGTCACCCAGTGTCGTGAGGCCGCCACCGCCAAAGGTAGGCAAAGTGGTGCTGACGGATGGGTTTGCAAGTGGTTGGCCTGTTTGGTGTTAGAATGGAACGCTCTTTTGACTTATTTAGTACCATACCTTCCGCCAACGTAAAAGTATAGTTGGACATTGGGATTATTTGACCAGAGGTTCAAGTCCAATTGATAGGTTACGTGTAAATCGTCCGTCTTCTGGGAAACAGCCTGGCTTTTATTGAGTTGGATCTCAGAGGTGAGTCGAGACCTTGACACCACCCCCCCATGAGGGCAACCCCAAATCAATATACGAGATAGGTCCGTTACATCTTGACGTGAGGGGATTAAGAAAAAAACCAAATGATATGAAAAGGTAATGTTGATAAGCCTCATGAAGATCCGTCATAGAAGGCGATTACCGAGCCATTTCCGACTTATTGCCGTCCCCGGCAACATTTCCCGCCGCTCTGATTGGCCACCAAATCTGTTTATCTCGTGCGGGGAGAGCCTTTTTCCCCTCATGAGGGGTTGGAAATGTGATACTTGGAGCTTACATTCCTTCTAGAACAACCTTGGAAGCTCCAGCCACATGCAGGGTTGCATTCAAGGTCCCTTCTATCAGCCCTACCAGTACATGGTTCGAGGGCCTACTCTAGTCATGATGTCTCTGGCAAACCGGCAAAACCGGCAAGACCCGCAAGACGGTTCTGTTTGGAAACATTTTTGCGAAGAGTGGAATATAAAATCGACATGATGCCTCATCATCGATTCTTGCTCTACACACACAGGCTCACGGACATTGAACCCCACTCTACTATTTTCTTATCAAAAACAACAGTCTCAAACCATGGCTTTCGTTTCCGGCTCTGAGTACGACTTCATCATTGTCGGTGGTGGTACCGCTGGCAATGCAATTGCCGGTCGCCTTGCTGAGAACCCCACCGTTCGCATTCTGGTTGTCGAAGCTGGCGTCCCCAACCCTGATCAGATCGAACAAATCACCACCCCGTCAAAAGCTTTCACCCTTCGCGGAAGCAAGTACGACTGGTCTTACAAGACGACCATGATCAAGCGGGAGGACTACGAGTGTGTTGAAAAGCCCAACACCCGCGGAAAGGCTCTTGGTGGCAGTTCTTGCGCCAACTATTTCACCTGGATTCCTCGCTCGAAGCCTACCTTTGACGACTGGGAGGCCTTTGGTGGACGCGACTGGAATTGGGACTCCTGTGTGGAGTACCTCCGCAAATGCGCCACATACCATGACGACGAGGAGCTGTATCCGGTCGAACTAAGCAAGCTTGGAACCGGTGGCCCTGTGCAGATCTCCCATATTGGTGCCGGAGATGAAGCAGTTCCGTGATGGGCTCACTGAGGCCTGGATTTCCAAGGGCCAACCTCTGAGCGAGGATATCTACTCCGGCGAGATGAAGGGTCTCACCCACTGCGTTGGTACCGTCCACCGGGGTGAGCGCCAGGGTAGCTTCCTTTACCTAAAGAACAAGCCTAACGTGACAATCCTCTACGGCGTTCACTCGAAGAAGCTACTCATCGATCCCGCCACGCGCATCTGCTCTGGTGTCAGTGTGATAAGCGAAGCTTTGGATCACGAAATCAGCGTCTACGCCAGCCGAGAAGTCATCCTGTCTCAGGGTGTCTTTGAGACTCCTAAGCTTCTCATGCTCAGCGGAGTCAGCCCAGCAGCGGAACTGGCCAAACATGGAATTACTCCCACTGTGGAATCCCCTCACGTCCGTCAGCATCTTCTTGACCACCCAATTGTGCCTTTCGTTCTTGAAGTCAAGGATGGGTACAGCTTGGATAACCATATTCTCCGTCCTGGTCCTCTAAATGACAAGGCGCTGTCCACCTACCAGAAGGACAAGACTGGCCCTGCAAGTTCTGAATTTTTGGAACTTGTGGGATTCCCCCGAATTACGAACGCCTGGAGAAGTATCCTGCGTACGGCGAGGCTAAGGCTGCCAACGGGGGACTGGATCCATTCGGCCCAGCAGGACAACCTCACTTTGAGCTGGACTTCGTGGGGCTGTTCAGCACCGCATTCCAGTGGCATTACCCTATGCCCGAGAAGGGCAGCCATATCACCGTCATTGTTGATCTGCTGCGGCCCCTTTCTGAGGGTGAAGTCACGCTGAACAGCTCGAACGCACTGGTTCAGCCGAATATCAACCTCAACTTCTTTGGCAATAACTTGGACATTCTGGCCATGCGGGAGGGTGTGCGTTGGCCATATGATCTTTTCACCAAGGGTGCTGGATTCAAGTACATTGTTGTCTCGGAGTACCCCTGGAAGATGCCCCTTGATTCTGATGATGATATGAGCCGTGCGGTTCTGGATCGCAGCCAGACTGGATTCCGTAAGACGGCCCCTTCAAATATGTCGGAACAAGTCTAACAATTTACTTTACAGATCCATGCGGTACCGCACGTCTCTCGAAGAGCATTCACCAGGGTGTCGTTGACTCAAAGCTGCGAGTTCATGGAGTGCGCAACCTCAGAATTGCAGATGCTTCTGTCATCCCCATTATCCCTGATTGCCGGATCCAAAACTCGGTTTATTTGATTGGCGAGAAGGCTAGTTACACATTCGGGGGCTCCTAGAACATAATTAACACATACTCTAGGGAGCGGATATCATCAAATCTGAGCACACAGATCTATACGAGGCCAAGAATATTCCCTACCTTGTGAATAGCAAACTTTGATCTGCCACAGATTGCTTCTGGCTGTATGATGTTTTACTATGTGCGAACATGTATGCATTGCTTTGTTCGACCATATTCTTTCTTTCTCCTCATCCTATGATGATTATCTTATTGAAATGTATACTGTGTTCTCCTCTGTAACTATTCTTGCTAAGGTAGTGGATCGGATACCTACGTAAAGGGCGTGAGATCACTTGTATTCGCCAGCTGTGAGGAGGGTTCCATATAACAATTCTGTTCCACGCCAGCGCAGGTTTTATAAATAACTATTACCGGCACCTGCCTAGGTAGTCACCTTCAAGGATGAATTCGAGGATTCCCGGCTTGGCACACCAAATTTTCGACCGCTGGTTTTTACAACACAACTACTAACAGAAACATGTAACTATGTTTAGGGGCAATACTAAAAAGTAAAAAACATACAACAGTGAGGATTCGCTGGTGGTCACCCACCCAACTACTAACTCACCGGCGTGTGGCTTGAGTACGGCTGAGCGGACGGGAAGCCCTATTTTCCACACCCTATGGTCGTATGTATCAGCTTACATGTGGAAACAATCTATAGGCCACTAACAATTGGGTAGTCACTGAGAGCCAGGGGGACTGGCGGGCAGTCGTCTTGAAGGATGTGCTTCCAAGTCTCTTCCAACTTTGGAATGGTCCACCAGCAAGATGGACGTTGGCTCATCGCCGATCACTACGTAGGCACCAGGTGCCAATATCACTAAGACCTGGCAGCCAATGGTTGTCGTCATTATCGGTATCCCTAGTACCTAAAGATTGTACCGTCCTCAAATAGCTGTTATCGACAGTTAGCGGCTGTTCGAAGTCACGTGGCCCTGACTATATCACAAGTTGACCTTCCGACTTTCCCCCTCGATCATATTGGATATCACCCAATCTTGCTCTCTTCCAGACTGTACTGATTGAAAGGCTGTCATTAATGGTTATCCTGTAATGCTGCGACCTGATGGTGCCACTCGAATATCTGTCTAGCAAACAAAGAGAACTGCGAGCAATCGTGTGAAAGGGAAACAAATCAACCTGGCATTATCATGAATACCTGAATTCCTAGACCCCACTGATTCCCCAAACCTCTGATTCTCGAAGTCCACTCTCAGATCCAAACCCCTCTCTCCGCAAAAGCGCCTGCCACCCACCTAATCCCGCAATGTCGAACAATAATCATCTGCCCGAGCTCCTGCCTAGGGAAAAGGGATGGAGCATGCGGTATCTAGAAACGGACTCGTCGACAAAATATGACTAATCGTCGAATTATCCGTCTTGGAGTACTTGAGAATGGATTGCTCCGATCTCTCTTACATCTTTCGCGTGTTCAATATTGTAGGGAGAGCAAAGCTGGGAAAGTAACCATCGGTTTAATGATTTTTCGAGAATAAGCCGTTAGAGTTGTCAGAAACTAATGATCCTATTGTCAGGCATACCGTAGTCATATCCGCACAGAGTGCGAGAAGCCAAAACATATGTCACAGGCGGCCCCGTTCGGAGCTGCGGCATTGCGTAGTGGAGAGGATCGTGCAGCAGATTTCGATGTCGATGAGCCATGTTAGAGAAGTAGGATACTGCGAATCAGTGACTCACAGGAGCATTCTATGCCGCTGTGCTCATTTATATCACTTTTGGCCACCACCTGGGTTACAACATGACCGGCAGCTTAGCGCCGGTTTTCATGTCATCTTCCCCGCCTTCACATTCCCCAAACGGACACTGGCGCACCATATGGATTTCTGGGTGGAATATTCCAGACAAGGAGTGCGTGGGGAAAGAAATCGCGGAGCCGCTTGTGCCCGGCAGACAATGCGTTCTTGCGGCTCCGATGCTCCACCGCTCCGCCGTAATGGCCCTTTACCCAATCTCTTAGGGGGAGCCGGCGGCGCCGCTGTGGAATCTGCGAACCAGGCGTTGATACCGTCGGGTAAAATTTTCTAGTGGCAATAGCGGTGTTAATTATTGTCGAATACCGAGGTCGAATACGTGGATGAGACACAGTATAATACCCAGAAAATCATGTGACTGATGGTACGAAGCAATAACGACCTTAAGCTGGAACCGATCATCCTCATAGTAGGTACGTGATGTTTCTTGGGTCTCAAAATGTTTAGATGTTGCCATATGTAAGAGATAAAAGAGAAGTACAACCAAGCCCCTTCGTCATTTCAAACCGCCAGCAAGCAGAATACTCTGTCCAGTCATATAGCCAGTCTTGCAGAGCATCATTACCACATTAGCGCATTCCTGCGGGGTACCTAACCGACCCACTGGAATGTTGGAGACATCTCCAGGTGTCCCTTCTAGAAATTTAGCGTCTGGGATCATTCCCGTGTCACCAATCATCGCCGGTGCCACATCATTAACCGTGACCCCATCGTGCGCCAGTTTAGTGGCCAAGTTCTTCATCATGCCACTGAGACCAGCCTTGCTAGCAGCGTAGTGACAACCATTTATTCCGCCACCGATTCCGGCAATCGATGACATAAAGATGATTCTTCCCCACTGTTGAGAGACCATGTATGGGACGGCGAGCTTAGACAGCAGGAAGGAGGACAAAAGATTGACTTGTATCATCTTTTCAAATTCTTCGAGCGGGATGTCGACAATGTTTAAAATCCGTTTGCCGTAGCCTGCGTTTGAAATCAGGATATCCGGTCCAGACTGCTCGTGAAGCGATTGAATTTGTTCATAAAGGGTTGCAATATCATGGGCATTGCTGACATCCACTCTATGAGACGTGACCTGACGGGATGAGTCTTGCATTTTCAGCTCGTTAACGAGGGCTTCGACAGCTGATTTATTCGTGGAATATGTCAAAGCCAGACGTGCCCCATGAGCGAAAAGGTCACGGGCGCAAGCTGCTCCAATGCTTTTGGCAGATTGTCAGCTACGAGCATAATATGAATGAACGAGAACATTACCCTCCTGAAGCACCCGTAATCAAGGCAAGTCTTCCATTTAGGTCGTTGTTGAGAACCATGTCTGCTGTACTTGTGCCAGACGTAGAACGAAGAGAGGGAAGGAAACAAAATTGGATAAGCATTTTTCTATATATGGCCTACCTCTGTGTCCTTGGGAAATGCCCCCACTCTATGAAGGCTTTTTCTTCACCCTTTTTCTAACCTATCCGCCATCCATTGCCGCTCTCAGAATGGGAACTGCGGTAGGTCCACTCCAAAGGAAAAAGCTAAATTGAAGTGACGGCTAATGCGATGACCAGTCGGCATTTGACGGTGCGACTTCTCGCCTCTACTAATATCATACAAATATTCTGGAATAGAACATACCGCCATAATTCCACTGCCGTGTGCGCGGAGACATGGTACTAATGCCGAGAAACTTTAGAAAATAAATACTCTCCCAATCTTCCATGCCAGAAACACAATTTGTCAGTAACCGAAGGAAATGTTTAAACTATTTGGTATCGGTAACTTGGCTATTTGGCTGCAGTTGCCCTAGTACATTTCGATTTTCGCAGATTTGCTAAGTATACATAACGCGGGGTTTGGAGTCTATGCTTTCCCATTTTCCCCCCATAGTTGAACTCTATTGCGCCAATAACCTTAACGGTTATTGGGTGAACGGGAAGAAGGAGCGCGGACTTTTCAAGTATCAGCTGGACAATTTAGGAGATCACAACGGCCGATAGCAGAAAAAAGACTTTGACTTGGATAGTCTCGTTAAATATTGAACGTGAAAATCAACCCAAGCTGTGTACATAAATTACCCATTTCGCGCACTCCGTTGAAAAGCTTAACTTGCCTAGTAACAACATTATTCTCGCCGCTGATATGATTTTGCTGTGCTATATTCTTTTATTGCCCTCATTCTGTTTTGCCTGGGCCCCCAGGCTTGTGCGACACGATGAACACTTTACTCCTGATGTCATTCTCCGCGTCACTGCTAAGTCAATTCCAATTGCTTGTACGACTCGTTTCACAGTGGTTATCAATGAAACCACGCCAGGGCCATTGATAGTCCTCGGTGAAGGGAAGGTGACCTGGATTAGGGTTTACAACGACATTTCAGGACAAAACCTAACCATGGTAGGTCACCCAATTAACGAAATTCTAGCCTAGCCGACTGACTAAGTATGAGGATTATAGCATTGGCATGGACTAAGTCAGTCAACTGCTCCTTTTTCAGATGGTTCTCCTATGGCGAGCCAGTGGCCGATACCTCCAGGTCACTTTTTCGACTATGAAGTGCGGCCCCAATACGGTGAAGCTGGGACATACTTTTACCACTCCCATGTCGGCTTCCAAGCTGTCTCGGCATCAGGACCTCTGATTGTGCGCGATTCCCAAGACCCTCCCTATTTGTACGATGAAGAACGCATTATTGTTCTGACAGATTATTTCAGCAAGTCTGATGCGCAAGTGGAGCAAGGCCTAACCTCTGATCAATTTACCTGGAGTGGTGAGACTGAAGCTATTCTTGTAAATGGCCAGGGCACAATTAACAACTCCACTTCAGGAGGGCCCTCGTGCTGTCTCGGTTCATTGAGTGTTGAACCAAGCAAGACATATCGATTTCGTATTATTGGCAGCACGGCTCTCTCTTTCGTTTCAATGGCATTCGAGGGTCATGACATGATGATTATTGAAGCGGATGGAGGCTACACTCAGCCCCTGCCAATCAGTCATCTCCAAGTAGGCGTGGGCCAACGCTACAGTGTCTTAGTCCGGACCAAAAGTGAACGAGAGCTTTATACGGAAGGTCGCACGAAATTCTTTCTACAGCTCGAGTCAAGAGAACGACCCACTCTCACACGATCATACGCCGTGCTTGAGTATCCGAGAGAGAAGTACGATAACATTCAGCCCCCAGAGATTCCACCTATCGGGCTGCCCAATACGACTTATGACTGGGTTGACAATGACCTCTCCCCCCTCTTCCCAAACAACTTCCCTTCTCTAGCCAATGTCACCAGGCGGGTGATTGTGAAGGTCGAACAGATCATAAATGGCTCTATCACATGGAGGCAAAATGGGGCACCTTGGGACGAGACATTCCCGCAAACCCCATACCTTGTGGCGCTCTACCAGAACAATGAAGTGGCTCTTCCATCATACGATGTGGCCGTTGCAAATGGCCTAGGCATGGATCCCCGCGTCCGAGCTTTCCCGGCCCATATCGGAGAGGTGTTAGAAATTGTGATTCAAAATTCAGGCTCAACTGCCGGAGCGCTCGATGTGCATCCTTTCCATTCACATGGTTTGCATTTTTACGACATTGGAAGTGGGCCAGGAACCTACAATGTCACTGAAAATGAATTGTCTCTACAGTTTCGAAAGCCAATCCAACGTGACACAACAATGCTGTATCGGTACTCCACAGCCGCACCTACAGGGCAAGATGCGGGGTGGAGAGCATGGCGTGTCCGCGTCACAGATCCTGGAGTGTGGATGATCCATTGCCATACTCTACAGCATATGATTATGGGTATGTATTTGGTCTCCCTTCGTGCTTTGTACTCCCAAGAAATAATTGCTTTCGGGTCCGAATGTCTTCACGTAAAAGTTCCAGGTTAACTCCATTTTATCCATTAGGAATGCAAACAGCTTGGGTCTTTGGTAACACAGATGATATACTTCGCTTGTCCCGCCCAATGGTTCAAGGATACTTGACATACGGAGGAAGTGTATACGGGAATCTTACTCACTGGCCTGAGGTTGTTCATGCAATGGAGTCAAGTGACTAGGATGTTGAATAGCGCCTGCTTTCGAAGACTCTTCGTAGCTGCTTCTTTTTAGAGAACATTTAATGTTTCAGCTGCTGAAGTATTTTACCTTGTACCGAGAAAGAAAATTGTTTTGGCTGAACCTGACATAAAACTAAAGGAATTGCTAGTGCGCTACCGTATCAAGTGGATTGCGTCTTTGAATGAGTCATAAATATGGCTTTGTGGATTTTAAGATACAAAGTGCTTGTGATTCGCTAGATAATGAATGGTTCACCATCTCAACGAAGATGTAAGCATAGGCTTCCGATCAGCTTCCTCCTGGTAGACATGACAGGATTATTGTCACGCCATCTTAGCTCGCGGCAAGGTCCTTATCTACCTGTGCCCTTGAAATGCGGGCAAAAATTAAGGCTGTGGGGCTCTATGCGCCAACTTTCTACTATTAAGAGGTGTGAAAGCTGTATATAAATCCGTGAAAATTGTGTTTGGGGAGCTGAAGTATGTTTGCTTACCGCATGACGCTTATCACTACTAACCTCTTCTGGCCTGATATATCTCGACTCGATCTTGGGTACTGGGGTAAATGTATCATGAAACTTTCACTCCAACTACGTATCTTTATACATATAAATTGACCCGTCAATTATAGAGTTGGTATGGTTTGTAGTTCACTATCCACTGTGTATGAAGGCTACTCCTATGGCATGAAGGCAAAATGTTAAGACGAATTGACTGCATAAGCAAGTACCATAAAGCAGTGCGAGCTTTGAACACGAAAAATCGAAGCCTAACGTCAGGTACAAAAAATGATCGTCAGTACATAAAAACAGAGGTTCGCGTTATCCACGTGTGACAGGTACATACTTCTAAGCTAAGCCATTTCTTTTCCATCCATTTCAGCGTGCTCCACAGCAGGCTTGGCAGTGAACAATTCCACTGCCAAATGCTCGTCACGACCTGCGAAGAGTCGGTCAACGTCTTCAAGCTGGAGGCCTAGTCTTTTGTTAGCATTGGTTCAGAAATCATAGAACATTTTCCGACCTTTGGTCTCTGGAAAGAAGAGATAGATGATGGGGACCCAGAGAGTATTCAATACAGCAAAGATAATGTAGGTTTTCCAGCCAATATTGCTGATTGCTGGTGGCATTATCTGTACAATGAGGTAATTGCAAATCCAATTCGCGGCTGTACTTATTGACGAGCCACGTTGCCGTAGCCGTAGAGGTAGGATTTCTGATGGATAGACCTGGTGGATCTGGTCAGCAAGATCAGTTACTTCGTTTGACGTGAACTTACCCAAACTGTCGCTTGAAAACCAATAGTGAACGCTCCTTGGAATATGAAAAGCATTGCTGCTGCTGCAATGCCGCTCTGGCGAGCGATGGCCGTATTATTCTGGACCTGGTAAATGAGAGCTGTCTGCACAACCATCACAGCAGCCATGACTGAAACCATTGACAACAATAGTGGACGTCGACCGATGCGATCAATCAGAAACCAAGGAATGAAGGAGGCGACAAAGAACCATGTTTGCAGAAAGCCCGACATCAAGCTAGACATATGCGCTGAGAACCCAACAGACTTCTCAAACAACGTCCCAGAGTAGTAAATAATAGCATTGATTCCGCCTAGTTGCTGGAATATCTGAATGGCGCATGCAATAAAGAAACGCCTCTGACTCTGGATCTTATCATTCTTGAGAAGGTCCTTCCAAGATCCAGCTCCGATTTCCTTTTCAACGGAAAAAGTGCGCAGGATATCTTCGTGGAGGGCTAGGATATCAGAGTCGGGCATCTTTCCATGATTTAATCGGCGAAGGACATCCAATGCTTCGTCATGGTGGTCATGGGCTACAAGCCACCGCGGGGTCTCGTCCACAAGGAGCAACAGTACAAGCATAGGGAGAAGAAATGCGCACTGGAGGATAACCGGTGCACGCCAGGAGTAGCTAGCGGTTTGCATGGAGAAGCCGTAATCAATCCAATACACCAAGAGAATTCCAAAATTAAGGGTGGATATCTGCATACAGACAACTGTTCCGGGTCAGTATCCAGTATCGCAGCATTTGGCAGATGCA